TAATCTGAAAAACCTAAATTTCAAAGTATATTTATATTTCAAATTATATATTGAGTAGAAACTTAAAAGTATAAATTTAGAGTAAATGTGCAAATAAGGATTCTAACTTTGCACTTTTTTGTATTTAAGGATGTTAACTTTGTCAGTTTCTAAATAATTATGTCAACTTTTAATTTTTTCCTAAATAAGGATGTGTTAACTTTGTCAGTTTCTAAATAAGGATGTCAACTTTCAACATTTTCTATTTAAGGATGTCAATTTTCAACTTTTTCTATTTAAAAATTAATTAAACAGTGATGTTGACGTGACTAACACATTTTTTAGGTTAAATACCTGAATTGGTCCCTCAACTTTTATTTTTGAACCAATTCATCTTTGAACTTTAGAAAGTACCAAAAACGTACTTCAACTTCAATTTTCAATTAATAAAATTATTTCCTAATTCATGGAAGAATTAATTAAATTTTATTTAATTTTATTAAATATGTGGGACTAATTAAATGGGAAAATATATTAATTGTTTTAATTTTTAAATATAAATAAAGTAAAATTAAGAATTAAAATAGTATGTAAATTATTTAAAATTTAAAAAATCTACATAATCATCTTTTACATGATGGATTTTCCACCTAATATTGAAAATGTAAAATAGTCAATCACTTAGCAAAAAAATTAGCTACATCAACATTTAATTGACGGAAAGACAAAATTGAAAATTGAATTTGAAAGACGTTTTTGGTACTTTTTGAAGTTTAAAGATGAATTGGTTCAAAAATAAAAATCGAGGGACCAATTCAAATATTTAACTTAAAAAAATATGTTAGCCACGTCAGCATCACTATTCAATTAATCCTTAAATAGAAAAAGTTGAAAATTAACATCCTTAAATAGAAAAAGTTGAAAATTAACATCCTTAAATAGAAAAAGTTGAAAGTTAACATCCTTAAATAGAAAATGTTGAAAGTTGACATCATTATTTAGAAACTGACAAAGTTAACATCCTTATTTAAAAAAAAAATTGAAAGTTGACATCCTTATTTAAAAACTAAAAAAGTTAACATCCTTAAATAAAAAAAAGTGTAAAATTAGAATCCTTATTTTCACCTTTACTTTATAAATTTAAGATAAATGAAGGGAAGTACCATTTGTAATTTGAAAAGGTGTTACTTAGTTCATATTATATACAACCACTTCCCATTAACTATTTTATTGAGAATGAGTTTTATGGTATTAGAAATTTCTTCAAATTTGAGTTTTAAGTCTAGTGATATAGGCTTCGGAAATAAGGAGAATTATTTTTTTTTATATAACTTAAGTCAGATTAAAAAAAAAAAAAAACCCTTCTCCCAATCCAATGATCATATTTTTTCCTCCTTTTTTTTTTCCAATTTAATGCTGCATAAAATTTTAAACAGGGACTGCACATGTGATTTATCAAATTACCAAAATTTCAAAAGTAAGATTAACACACTGCCACGTGGAGAGGGTTGGATTCCCATACAATACAAGTACTTACACCGAAGAGATCCCTCTTCCATACGGCAACTGAGACTCAAAAAAGTCCTGTGATTTGACTAGTTAGGGTTTTCTCAAGCAAAAGGGGAAAAGCTTGAACACTGTTTTTTCCTTTGGGAAATTTCAGAGAAAAGGAAACTATTGTTCGATTCAATTTCATTTATTTTCTGAATTTGTTTTTTTTTTTTTGGTCGATTCTCTGAAACAATGGGGAGAGGGAAGTTCAAGGGGAAGCCCACCGGCCAACGCCGTTTCTCTACTCCGGAAGAGATGAGTAAGTGCGACAATCCTTTTGATTTTTTTTCTCTTGCTTTCCTGTTTGGTTGCTCTGAAAATTCGAGAGAGAAAATTTCATGGTGTCATGTGTTAAATTTGAGGTGATTTCTGTTTTGTTATTTGTAATTTCTTGAATTCGGATCTAGCTAAGCTGCCTATTGTGTGATTGAATTATTGCTTCTACCTTAATGAAAGTAAATTTAAATTTTTTATTTCTGATTCTGTATAAGTTCAGATTGAGGGATCTTGTTGTTTATATATTTATGGTAATTGCTGAATTTTGATTTTTGGTGAAGATTGCAGCTAATGGTAATTGTTGATTCTTTATACAATGAAGTTGTGTCGTCTCTTGCATGTTATCACATGGCTATAGATGCCATGAGACCTTGGCTTTGGTAATAAGTGGGTTGGATTCAAGTTTCAACTACTGTAAAGAACAAAAGAGCAAGTCATATGTATATCTTTTAAATTAAGGAAATGTGGTTGGTGAAAGGTGCTGTGGAAACTACAAGTCTTGATTGAGAGTTAGAATTCAGAGAGAGAGAAAAAAAAAAAGTCTGCTGAAATGAGAATGAAAATGAAAAAGATTGATACTCGTAGTTTGTAATTTCTATTATTCATTGTCTAGTTGAGAATTTGGTTTCCTTTACTAACTTTCTAAATTGAATTTTTTTTTGTTTCTTCTTAAATCATTTTGGACACTGCCTGAAATTAATCCTTTTTCTCTGTCTAATTTTTGTGAATGCAGTTGCAGGCACCTCTACCCGTCCCCGCACTTTTAAGAGGGTATCTCTCTTTCTCTTTCTGTCTCTTTCTCTCTCACATACGGATGCAGATACTTATTGCAACATAAAGATGGAGCTTATGAGAAATTGTCCTTTATATTTTTAGGAAGAAGCTCAGCATGTAGAGGAAGAATCTGAAGAAGAATCAGGGCAGGAGTCTGGAGAAGAATCTGATGATCAAGCCGAAGTTAATAAACTATAAGTCTATTACTAGTCTTTCTTTGTGGATCTTTTATTTTTCCTCTATGAGGTGGATTCTTCTATTCAATTGACTGATGAACTTGGAAAGCTTTCTTGGTAATTACAGAAGCGAAAAGGAACTCAAGGTCTTATTGAGATAGAGAATCCCAATCTAGTGAAGCAGAAGAACGTAAAAGCTAAAGATATCGACGTAAGTTTCAAAAGAACACCTGCATCTTGTTTCTGTATTGACTTGATTAAATTTAAATGCTTAAATAATATCTCATGATTTTGTTCTCTACTCCACAGACTGGGAAAACTACTGAACTTTCAAGGCGTGAGAGGTTTGTAAATACCTCTTCGTTCTATCTGTTATGGTTCATTTTTAGGGTCTATTCCATTGAGGAAGTTAATATCTTAGAATATCATCTATATGTATGCAGGGAGGAATTAGAGAAGCAGAGAGCCCATGAACGATATATGAGGCTGCAAGAGCAAGGGAAAACCGAACAAGCAAGGAAAGATTTGGGTAAGTGATGATTGTACAACTTAGTCATTTCTATTTATTTTTGTCACATCACATGACTTGCTTCTTACATTTGGTAAATGAAAATCTACATTGTTTATGCATCTGTGAATTGTTGAAGCAATAAGTTTAGTTGCATAATTACATCATGTTGAGTTAATACTGGATAAAAAATCCATGTACCATAGCTTTTGTTAGTTTGCATTATGACATTCTATTTCCATGTCTACCTCCTTTTCCCCTTGCGGTATATCCTTGCCTCTTTGTTGTCCAGCTTGTGGAATCATTATTCTTCTTTAAGACTTATGAATTTTATTTCACATGTAGAGCGCTTGGCTCTCATACGTCAACAAAGGGAAGAAGCTGCTAAAAAACGAGAAGAAGAAAAAGCTGGTAATTTGCTAAAACAACCACAACTATTTTATCACTTGTTTACAATAATATTGGTTCTTGAAATTGATTAAGATTCATCTTCGACTTTTCCAGCCAAGGAGCTGAAGAAGGCTGAAGCTCGCAAATAATACCCTCAACAACAAGTGCTTCCCTTGGTAGAAGAAATGCATCGTCTCTCCAATTTATCCAACAGATGCTGTTATCTAAACGTTAAATCCTGTGTTCACAATTGTGATTTGTGCAAGCGAAGACGATAGTTTATCTTTATTTTATTTTTGACTCCATGGTGCATAATTTGATGATCTTGTTGTCTCACTGAGAACAGATAGATTTCCTTCTAGATCTGTATCCCCTTTCTTATCTATGGTTGTGGGATGGTTGATGTATCAAGAATTCATTGTCATTAACTTCACGAGAAGGTAACTTTTTTGTGAATGTTGATCTCAATTTAGATGTTCTGGACTTGGCTAGACTGGTGTCCAAAAAAAATAAAAGTGCTCGATTTCCTTACCATTGTAGTCATATTTCCAAGCCAGAGTGACAATTTGCACTTCGCAGCAAGATAAATCCTTTGGAAGTGTCATGAAAAAAATGATGTCTACTTGCTACCGCAAGAGAAATTGTTTTAGAAAGGATGTTTAGTCCGTCTGGTATTTAAGAACATCAGTTTGAGGTTGAAAAGCACAAAATATTAGATTAGTGATGCATGTGGATCCATTAATATCATTTTTGTCTTTGGGTTTCCTCTACTATAGTTTGGGTTTCCTCTACTATAGTTTGGATTTCACCGTAATGTAAAATAGTAGCAGTTGGATGAGGAGAGCGTCTAAATGTTAAGGCTCTTCCTTTATCATTGGTCTCTATCATGTGGACTAATATCATTCAGGTTGGTCAATAATTATTTTTTTATATGAGGGTGCGTTGGTTAATAATTATTTTTTTATATATAAATGGAGTGAGATAAAAAATAAGAGATGATTATTTTTTATTGTGTAATTAAAATAAAAAATAATTTTTTTTATCTTAAATTGACATAAGTGCAGTCCGTCGTGAAGGTGAAGACTGAAGAGCCAACAATTGTATGCAGTCCGTCGTGAATATGAAGAGTCAACAATTGGTGCAGTCCATGGGTACTGCCACGTGTGCTAAGTTGTACACGTGGATAGTATATAGATATTTCGGACATCAGTTGGATTCAGTTCATAAATTAGCATTTAGCATCTCTTCTAGTATTTCCAGACGCTTCTCCTTCTTCCTCCAAACAGTCCGCCATGGCAGAAAATCAAAAACCAAATGCTCCTCAGACCACGCCCACTTCTTCTTCTTCATCTTCCAAATTAACTTCAGAAATCAGGAACGGCAACCACGCCGGCGCCGGCTTCCCGGTGCAAGAAAAGATCCACTTCCCAAATCCGCCCGACCCCACGAACCCGGATCCGGCTACACTCAGGGATCAATGGAGATATGCCATTAGGCAGTATAGTCGATGGTACTCTCACGCATGGGGCACCGCGATTCTTGCTGGGCTTTCATTTTTCGCCCTTGGTTGGATCATCAAGGGCTCCAATCCTCTTCCCTCTTTCAAGTCGGATTCATCTCCGTCTGACGATGATGCGAAGCGACGAGGTTCTTGATTTATGGTGAGTTCAATTCCTTTAGAATCCATGTTAAATACCAGTCAGCTCATCTTGGGTTCTGGGTGTTTCGAGTCCCTTGGTTCCAGTTCCGGTTAGGGTTAGGGTTTATACTCCTTTACATTCTGAGTCAGAATAGCTTGGTGCTGCTCTCTTAATCATCATAGAGTAGCCTATTAGGTGGAGCGAAGATAAGTTGAATTTGGATTCAGGAGTTGTTTCTTCCCCAGCAATATGAATTGAAGAAGCAGCAGCACTACATCATAGCAAACGAAATGGCTTTAGAATAATTTATAACTGAAACAGAGTTCATGCTGTTACCTATGTTGAAAAGAAACCATAAAGTACCGTTTCAGGTTTCAACCTTTGATGTTGCAGGGCACTTTATCATGAGCTGGTTGATTGATTCTTAAAGCCTTCTCTGCTCAGTCTTTCCGCTGCTTATTTTCTTGTAATCCATATCTGATTGCAGACATCTTGATCCACTTAAACTTGGAGTTTCTCGAGTACAATCAGTGAGAAACCAAACTCTGAGGAGCATCAGAAAACAATAATGAATCGTTGTTTTAGGGTTTTAAGCTTGCATATGGTGTAATGTGTTTTCCTTGTTGGTTCTTGTAATGTGTTCTCCTTTTTAGTTCTTATAACATGCTTCTCTTTTGACTATTGATCCAGAATGAGGCCAAGTTTGTAGAATCCCAGTCCACTAGAGCAGGCAGGTAAGGAGACTCGTCCACTGTTCCAACAACTGAACTATCGACAGTCAAGAGATGATGATCTGTACAGTGCCCCAATAATATTACATCAGAGTGTGTTCTTAGGTTTTGAAATTATAATGGAAAGGCTGTTTCTTTGCAACTTTGTGTCTTGTAAATGAATTCTTGATCAAAGTAAGTTTTCATTGAAGACATCCCCTCTTGCAGTTGAAGAAGACCTTTGGTCTATAAAATTTGATCAATGTTGAGATTGGGATCTTTTCACCTTTACTCAACCATATTGTAATCTTCTGGTGATAATAGACATAATTTTCATTTCCCCATCTTAGATGAAGTTTAGGTTTCCCTGTATATTTTGGCTAAGCCAACTTTTAGCCTCTCACCTTACAAAATTGATAGGTTTTAGCCCTTAACATTATAATATGACATTTTTACCTTTTTACCTTACAAAGTTGGTAGGTTTTAACCTCTCACCTTATATTATGACACTTTTAGCTTATTTTCTGTACGAATTGAAGAAAATTTCCTTCATATAACATCAGGTTATAATGTTTTATTAGTTCTATTAGTTGACTGTCAATTTTATTGGTTAACTGTTAGCATTCCGTTAATAGAACTAATAAATAAAATTAAATTTAAATTTCATGTTTTTTATAACGGATGTTAACAGTCAACTAACAGAACGTTATAACCTGATGTTAGGTAAATGTCATTTTCTTTAATTCGTATCGGTGATGAGTTAAAAATTTCATAATATAAGGTAAAGGGTTAAAACTTACCAACTTTGTAAGATAAGAAGCTAAAACTTACCAACTTTGTAAGATAGAGGGTTAAAACTATTATATTATAAGATGATGGATTAAAACCTACCAACTTTGTAAGGTGAGGGGCTGAAATTGGTTTTTGCCGTATATTTTGCTATCCTTTGCCTTCTGTCCTAAGTGATCATCATCGTTTGTTTTTAGTCTTCCACCTTCTCTAGCAAAGCATTCAAGGGGCAGAGCTTATTTTGGGAGCTCGCCTGGATCATTAGAATCACCAAAATATGTACCTAACCAGTACTGCTTCTCCTAAACCATCTGTGCCGAAAGACAATGTCACAAGCATAATTAGAGCAATTCATGTATCCTATTCTAATCAGTAACCACACCAGTCTACTAATCACACCTCGGAACAACTAAATTTCATATGAAATTACTTGATTAGTACTTGAAGCAATTCACAAGAAACAGAAGCAAGAAATCTTTGAAGTTAATTAAAACTACTATATGTCTCTTAGATCCTAAACAAAGCTCTCCAGCGTTCAAGCACAATGTTCAAAGTGTTAATGAGTTGTTGTCATTTGCATTCTTGTCCGGGCCAGGTAACCTCTCTCTATATTGATATGAACAGAGCACGGAATGACTATAAAAATTTTTTAAGACTTCAACTCCATGCTCAAGCCGAGCAACATCCAACTTTCTTCACAGCTGATACATCATCTTTTGATCCAACGTTGATTGTCTGCCCTTTGGGCAATGCTGCTGGATCATCTCCAATATCAAGAGCCTTCCTGCTCACGACATGATAAATCTGGGTCAGCACTTCTGTAAAGGCATTTTCAACATTCAAAGACTCCAGTGCAGATGTTTCCATGAAAAAGGTGTTCTCTCTTTCAGCGAAAGTTTTAGCATCTTCAGTAGAAACTGCACGCAGGTGACGCAGGTCTGCTTTGTTCCCAACTAGCATGATCACAATGTTTGCATCGGTGTGATCCCGAAGCTCCTTCAACCATCTCTCTACGTTTTCAAATGTAACATGACGTGTGACATCATAGACTAGTAAAGCACCAACAGCACCTCGGTAGTAAGCACTGGTAATAGCACGGTACCTTTGGCCATCAAAGGAACAAAAAATTAGATTGATATCCTTAAAACTTCAGTCTTCATGATTCACATCAAATCCAAAAAATTTCAAGATATATGAAAGGGATGCTAGCACAGAGCAAGAAGTTACTAGAAAACTCTTTCCTTCAATGCAGAGAAAAAAGAGAAAAGTCATGTTGAGATTAATGTTAACAAACACTCAACATCATACAAATATGGAAAGGAATATAAGAAGTGATGTCCTAATCTGAGACCCTAACTAGCTAACAGAAACAAAAATAAAAAAACAAAATTTTAGACATTTGCCTCAATTTATTCACTTCTATTCTACGTTAATAAAAATATAAATCAAATGACCAAAACTTAACTGCCAAGATTGTTAAAATAGCACCTGCTTATTTATTAAACCATCTGTCATTTCAGTATGAACAGGAAAATGCATGACAATTTTTACATCAGCTGATGCAGGAAACTCAAATGAAGTTCTGTAATCAAGATCCAAATTCTCAACCCTTGGAATAATATGCTAACAGTAGACAATTCATTCTCAAGTAGTTCTCCACAATAGGTTTATAGGCTGCCCCGTCTTGGTGACATTAACCTTAGTGTTCATATAATGAATTCATCAACTAAGGGTCCCATCTTTTATTTTGTATTTTTTCCACTAGGAGCAACCATTACCTACTATCTCTACCACAAACTGCATGCTTTTGGAAATGAGTACACAACACAATGTCATAGAAAAAGTTATCTTAGCTAACTTTCCCCAACAATGTGAATTGCCAATTTACCGTTATTAGATTTGGGATCCAAACATGAAAAAATATGCCCATTTAGCTTTAGAAAGCTAATATAGCAAGCAAACATTGTAGTCAGCTTTAATGCCAATGCAACACAATCCACGCAGACGCAATGTGACCAAATATCTAAATTTCCAATTATAAATCACTTAAATTACCATCAAAATCTAATTCAAGAATATGAGCTAAAAGATGTTCCATTATGAAGAAAGGCATCCACTTTCACACAAATTTCAACAGAGAAGTTTATAACTAAGCAAACAACTGAATTTAATTCTCATATCCATCACCCTGTAAGAAATTAAATTCCCCAGACCAAAACATAATCAACAGAGGGAAAGCTAAATGGCATAATTTTCCCAAAGACAGGACAATGCAGAGCACATCATTCCCACATTTCAATTTTCATACCCCAAGATCCCCACAAAACACCACCAAGTGATCCAAAATCCTTGAATTATGCAGAGTTGAAGAACCCCAGATCAAGATCTAGAAACACAAAACAGAGCAAATACCTTTCTTGGCCAGCAGTATCCCAAATCTGGGCCTTGACAACTCTATCATCGACCTGAATGCTACGAGTGGCGAACTCGACGCCGATGGTGGACTTGGATTCGAGGCTAAATTCGTTGCGGGTGAACCTAGAAAGAAGGTTGGATTTACCAACACCGGAGTCACCGATCAGGACAACCTTGAACAAGTAATCGTAGTCATCGTCGGCCCTATAAGCCCCCATATCTCCGCCGTGGTTCCTTCCTCCAATGGGCAAATGTGGGATATGGGATTTGGGGAAACGAAAGGGAGAGGGACGGATGAGTTTTGAAAATTTCCAAAATCAGGTTCGGTTTTCGCCGTTGCTCTGTCTCACGGTAACGCACTGAGAAGGAAAGAAGGCTAAAAAATGCTTGGGTCTTGTTGATAGGCAAATCCAAGTGGTAGGCGTTTGTTATGGCAGGGGAGTTTAATTAACTAATAAAAATGTTATAATTACAAGTCATTATAAATAATTTTATGTAAAATTAAATATACATATATATATATTATAAATTTATAATATTAAATATACTTACTTATTTAATAATACGTAAAAATTATATAAAAAATAATATAAAAATATCATCCCTGTACCGTTACGTATTAAAATAATGCAGATGGAAATAACCGGAGTGCAAGGACATTGAATCTCCAATTTTCTTTGCTTGGGGGAATTAGTCGTTTGTGTGTTTTTATTTATTTATTTATTATTTGACGATGGATTCAGCGGCGGAGCCAAGTTATGGCCAAGGGGCGCTGACCCCCTTGGCTTTGGAAAAAATATATTTTGTGGGTTTTTAAATTTGTAATTAAAGTAAATTTGGAACGTGGCCTTCGGGTCAAGCGGTTTTAGCTACGTTTGTAAAGTTTATGTTCTCTTTCCAGAGCAACGGTTCGAGTCGACCCCATAACAAAATGTTAAAAAATAAATAAATAAAGTAAGTTTGGGCCTTTAGTTTTTGTCTTAATCATTTTTATCTTTAAATTTAATATTTCATTTTTTTTTCTCAGTTTCCTGTTTATTGATCTATTGGGAACTTTAGGCGATGATTAATTGGGTATCTCTAGGCGATGATTAGGAAGATTAGAAAATTGAGATGGTATAAAAGATGAGGAAAAAAATGAAAATTAATTAAATTATGATATTTACATTACCATCTTATTTATTTTCAATAATTGTTTTTTAATGGTAGTTTGAAGTATTTTTTTTAAACATTTACTCTATGTTCAAATTTATTTGATTTATATTTAAATCTAATTTTTTTTAGAGATATCAAGTATTATATATCAATTTATAAAAACATGAAATGTAATATATTAATTAGTTGACTTAAAAAATTTTGTTGCTCCTAACTAGTAGTTGTGAATTACTCAGTTAGTGAGGTTTTAACTCATTAATGGTCTATAATTTGGTTCAATAATATTTAAGTCATTGATATTTGACTTTTATATTATTATAATTCTCTATTATGATATATGATTAGCTTGATTTTAGATTTTGTGACTTTTGTTTACTATAAATTCTTTATTTAGAAAAATGACCTCCCCTAACAACGATTCCTAGCTCTACCATCAGTGGCGGAGCCAGGGTAGCGCCCCCTGAAATTTGAAAATCTTGCAAATTAGCATATGAAAAATTATCTAACCTCTCCTGAACTTTGAAAATTTTAGTTTTTTGCCTCCCTTGAAAAAAATTTCTACCTCCACCCCTGTCTACCATTGATGCATTATAATGTTATACAAAAGAGAATAACTCTTTTGCAATCCCTCATGTGATTCAGTGATGGCTACACTGCTCATTGGACAATAGGTGGAATGCATGCTGATCATAAGTTCGATTTTCCTAAGAAACAGATATTAACTAACCTATCTTAGAATTTTTTATTGTAAAAAAAAAAAAGGAAAATAACTCTTTTGTCTTTTTCAAATTCCTTTTTATTTAATTCAAAATTTAAATTTAAAATTTAAAAATTTTAATGGAGAGATGAGCACCATCCTAACCACCCGATGACCTGTGTTAGAAGACAGAGAAAAAGAAGAGCCCAGTGTTAATAGTGTGGGTCCAACATAACCTGGTCTGCACTTGTGGGGTTCTTTTTAGACCAGGCCTAACTAATTTTCTGTTAAGACTCGTTGTTAGCCAGCCTACATGCAAGATCCAACATAACTGGGCCTGCATGTGTAGGGTCCCATTCTAATTGGACCTACACCATTTGCTGTTAAACCTCATTGTTAATCTGGACCAGATGAGGAGGCCTGTGTTACATTGTGACAGTTACATATGACTAAATTTAATAAATATTTTATTAATTATGTACTTTATTTTAATTTAGTTTAGAAATATATATTTTTTAAATCATCTATAAATTATCAATTTTATTTCAAAATGATCTACTTGACAAACATTTCGTAAACTAAACCAACGGAATTCCCCTAAACTTTTGAAAAATGTTAAATATAATATATATTTTTATTTTTTACAATATTTTGTTTTTGAAACTCAATTTTTTATTAAATGTAATAATTAATTAAGATAAAATTTCAATTTACATTAATTAAGATTCTAATTTTAATTTACAATAATCAATATTATTATTTCTAAAAAAATTTAATTTATTATTAAATATTAATATTTTTAATAAATAAATCCTT